TTTTTTTCCGCGTGATATTTTCACCGTCTGTATGCCGGGGTTTTTTCTACGAGTTTTTCCCACCCCCGTCAGATGCCCCGATGTCCGAACCAATATTTCTCTATACGTATTCAAATCGCTCGTCGTATAATCCACGGGGTTTTTCGAAAACAACAACATGCACAGTCCAGACGTTAGGGGATACGAAATAATATCATCTGCACTACTGTGTTCAGCGTTGACGTGGCCGCCGACAAGTATCTCGTCTTGGTTAAATGTAATATTTTTATTTCCCAAGATGAGTTGACCGCTTCTAGTTTTTTTCACCCCGTAAACTCTGTCGAGACCCCCTGAAGATTCGAACCGTTGATAAATATCCTCGGAATCCGCATTATTCGTTTTCGGACCATAGTACGCTGCATTCGTAATCCGTTGTGGTTGTTGTTGTTGTTGTTGTTGTTGTTGTTGTATCCTGTTGAGAGGATCGATAATTGGAGCGAGCGTATCGTTTATAAACGCGTCTGTTTCGTATTTTCCACGTTTCAACTCATTGTATTTAATTTTTATATTTTCTCTAGCACTGATTATGTCCAACAGTAATGACTTGTTCGACTCACCCATGATTATATAGAAATGTCGGGCATGTCACTGCAACAATGCGTTATATAACAACAAACATGTCGAACCCGAATCTATAACGTCCGTTGTCACGCTCATCTTCCTTGCTAATAACGATAAAGTCGAATCTGCTACGTTGCCAACATTTTGTGCAGAACGATTTAAATTCCGAGTACGACATATCGGCGGATACGTGTTCCGCATATGCGTGTTTCAGATTCATTTCGTCTTGTCGGAATAAAACGATAAAGTTAGCGTTATCGCGAATCAATTGCTTGGGTACGCGTGAATACGATTGTGCCAGATAACACGCATCGATCTGATTGTGCCGACAATGAAGTTTAGCAAGAAGTTAATAAATAGGGAATGTATTCAAAACAATAATATGGAATGTTTGATTAAATAGGAAGTCAGCAGTGGTTAATAGTTCAAAAGTATGCTGTTAAGAACTATTCATATTTTACTATATAAATATTTATATAATTTAAATAACTCATAGGTATTGTAGTGCATTGTATGAAAAATGAGTTTAGACTTTAGATTAAGTTAATGTGTAAAAAATACATAGATATTATTGAAATTAGAAATTCTTTGCCTTATACGTGATTGAACGAATGAACTTCGATGAGTGGTCAAGAACTGCAACTGAACAGAAGTGAATTTTTTTTTCCGGAAAAAAGATATTATTAACGATTCTAAGAACTTGGTGAAAGATTGAATACTCATTATGTAATTCAAATTATTCACAGAATGTTCGTCTAAGTGCATATTATGTGGATATGATAACATTTTCTTAATTATTTGTTCCGATGAAATAGAAAAATGTTGTTCCAAAACACTATAGTGCCACAAAATATTTGTTCCACACTATGTTTGTTCTACATTTAGAAGAAGTATTGTGTGGAACAAAAGTGAATCGGAACAAATATTTTGTGGAACGATAGTGTATAGCCAGCGTGAATAAGTGTCAGATAACACGCATCGATCTGATTGTGCCGACCGCGTGAAAAATACGACCGTACAATACTCTGAGATTCCATTATAATATCGTCAAAAATAAACACCGAGTTGGGTAGTGCCTTCTAGGGCGGTAATACACTGTCGTTTTCTTGAAATTTAAATAGATTTACACCGTCTACTTTGCTCAAAATCTCCTCGAGCATAACATACTTGGGATGATGTAGAGTTTTCGAATAAATATATACATTCTCGAATTTAAGACCGTTCGCATGTGTTAGCAAGGTAAAAACTAAATTTGTTTTCCCGCATCCGGATGGTCCGACAATCAGTGAGCGTATCGTGTCGGGGAAAAGCACGGCGTGTCGTGATTTTCTATCGCACGTCGCCCCCGGATCGATATTGTTAACCGCGAGTTTTTTCGCCTGTTTGATGAATCGCATTATACTATAAATAAGTTTACCGACACTTTGAACCGGTCATACAATGTCTCCACGTCGATAGGTGCGGAACAACAGTGGTTCGGGTCTGTTGAACACGTTAATAAATACTTTGCCGGTGGAACTACATTTACCGGGATATCAGTTTTGCGGTCCGGGAACCGAATTGAAAAAACGTTTATCGCTCGGGCAAACGGGGGTAAATAATTTAGACGCGGCTTGCCGCGACCACGACATAGGGTACGAGGTCAGTAATCTGTCCGGAGATCGCGAAAAGGCGGACCGCGAATTGGAAAATCGTGCTTGGGAAAATGTTAAGTCTGCTGACACGGGTTTTAGCGAAAAAGCCGCATCGTGGGCCGTCACAACGGGCATGAAGGCTAAACGTAGAGTCGGCGGCGGTGGCTGCGGGTTCAAAAATGTAGTCAGAGTGGCTAAAAAAGCTATTAAAAAATCCATCAAAGCGTGTCCCGGAACGTCGAACATGAGCAAATTAATTAAATCCGGTATCGCTGCGGCTAAGAAATACACTCGTGGAATCAATACCACGTGTAAACCGTCTAGAGTTATCAAAGTACCACGGACGGGCGGTGCTCTAGCGTTAATACCGATACTCTCGGGTCTCTCGGCGCTCGGCACGTTGGTTGGCGGAGTCGCGAACGTGGTCAAGGTTATCCGAGGTATTACCTCGAAGCGCAGCGGTTCCGCAATACAGTTGGGCGGTGGACTATATCTACACCCGTACTCACCCAAGAGTGGTGGGAGTTATAAAATTGCTAAATCTATGAAGAAAAAAAATGCAGGCATGGCGAGTAAAAATAAGAGAAAAAACAAAACCGTAAATAAAAAACAAGTGTCAAAAAACTGAAACTGCCCAATCGCGCCCTATTCGACTATGAGATTGAAAAATACGCCCGACTCGTGAAAATACCTCACTTCCGCGGCGTGTTCAGTATAGACACGTTGCCTGCCGCATCCCGTGTCAGAGAAGCTGCCGTAGTTAATTTGGACTTTGCGAAAAATCGTGGAAAACATTAGATCTGTTACCGGAAAATCAAAAATTTCGTACGGGTATTCGACTCGTTCGGTAACCTACCGCCGCCCCTACAACTACGAAAATATCTTAAGGGCTGTGCAATAGAATTCAATTACGACAGAGTGCAGGCGTTTGGTACGTTTAATTGCGGACATTTATGTTTGCAATTTTTAACCGAATAACTTTATGCAATGTCGTGTCAAACTCTATCGCTGAGCGGAAATACGACCGAGCTGGAATGCCATTTTTTTCCGCTCATCGAAGTGGGTGACTCGGCGGAAATCGGACTTCTCAGTCTTCAGACGTATAATTCAATGCCGAACGTCGAACCAGGCTGCGATACATTGGGCGTTATCAACGCACGTGGTGATACATCACTGATTCAAATACCCACGGTTTGCTATGAAATAAGTACATTAGAAGCTAAAATCGTGGAACGCCTTGCCTCGAGTAGCGTGGATTTTTTCGAATTGAAATCCGATCCCAGTACGTTAAAATGTACGATACTGTGCAGTAACGATGTTGTATTCAACGTGAACAATAGTACAGCACCGTTGTTGGGTTTCAATAAAACAACTCGCCTACTCGCCAATATCAAACACGAATCCGACGACTTGGTGAACATTATTCGAATAAACTGTATAAATGTAGTATGCAATTTGGCCATAGGCTCATTCGAGAACGGAAAGCAATCACATACAATACACGAGTTTTATCCAGCAGTCGCGCCGGGCTTCAAAATAATTGAAGTACCGAAATATTGTGTTTTATATCGGCTAGGGACGAACACCGTGGATAACGTGCGTGTAACGTTGAGAGATCAAGACGATCTACGTCTTCTCGTTAAAAAAAATAATAATAATCGAGATGGGACTCAAATTTAATGTAAATAAATATGTACCTGATAGCGGATAAACACGCATTAACCGCGTGTCTGTCGATGGAGACACTACCACTTACCGGAAACGTGCAGCTAAAAAAACATATCGTTCCGTTAACATTATTGATAAAAGTGCTCTTACAAAGGCGAATCGTGAATTTCTACGTTTCATCTCCTGTAATAAGACGTCGTCGTCGTCGTCGTCGTAATAACATGGACCGATCGTATTTGGACGTTAACGAGCCGTACGTGAACGAGGCGCCTATCCAGGAAATGTTTTTACACTCGTTTTTACCATTCTCCAGCACGGCTATAAACAGAGGCGACGAGATACGTATCCCTATACAGAACAGAGACGCCGTCACACTGCCTAGCGAGAGTTTTGTCTACGTCGAGGGCAAATTGATAAAACCGGTCGATTTGTTGGCCGAAGTCACGTTCAGTCAGAACGGTTTGATTAATTTGTTTAACGAAATCAAATATGATATTAACTCCGTGGAAATACAACGCGTTAAACGACCGGGTGTGAGCAGTTCGTTGAAAGGTTACTGTTACTGTTCTTATACGCCCGCGGACGTAAACTGTTTGCAAAACGCTACTTGGGACGGTGCGGATTCGAATAGAAAATTTATAAAAGACGGCACGTTTACCGGATGTATCCCGCTGAAACACGTTCTGGGATTTTCTGAAGATTATAATAAAGTTTTGATAAATTTCTCGCAACAATTGATTTTGAACTGGACGATAAACGATCTGGGATCATTGACGTTTTTCTTGAAAGGTAATGAAGTTTTGACCGATGCGACTGTCCAAGCCAAAGTGAAAACAATCAAAATAGAACTGACAAAAGTCATGTGGAAGGTGCCCGTGGTCAAGGTTAATGACAGAGAGAAGTTAAAACTGTTGAAAATTATCGATTCAAAAAAAAACGATAAACTGTGCGTTTAGAAATTGGGAACTATGCGAATATCCTAATATACCGCAGACGATAAAACACTCGTGGATGGTGAAAACCTGTTCGCGGGTAGAGAAACCTAGATGTTTGATAATCGCTTTTCTGCACAAAGACTCCGGTAATATGGCCGAGGGATTCGCGCCAGACTTTGACACGTGTTCACTGACCAACGTGAAAACGTATATAAATTCGGTAGAATACCCGTACGAGAATTACAACGAGAGCTTCGACAAAGACCAGTTTACAATGTTCTATCAAGGATATGCGGATTTTCAAAAATATTACTTCGAGCGCATGACCGCCCAACTGTATCTGAGTAAAGAAAAATACAAAGAACTGGGTCCGTTTATATGCATCGACTGTTCGCGTCAAAACGATGACGCAAAAACGTCTACTATCGATTTGAAAATCGAATTCGAGGCTGCGAATAACTTCCCGACGGACACTTCGGCATACTGTTTGCTCATTCACGACCGAGTCATTTAATACAACCCGTTCTCGGGAGAAGCCAGAAAAGTGTAAAATATTATATACACGGTTACTGATCATATCAATATTGTACTACTTTTTTTTTTTTGAATATCTGTTATACTTAAATATTATAATATTTTGTATATGTTAAATAAATACTGTTTCATAATGATAAAATTGGTTTTTATTTACAACAACAACAACAACAACAACAACAGATGATATAATATTATACAACATTTGCTGCGTGTGTGTGTGTTCAGCTGGTGTCCATGACATCGATAAGACCATCGCGAAGAATGCAGTGACCTTTTTGAACCCATATCAATAGTTAACATAATTGAAAAATGTCGGTCCATCATTCTCGTCGGTCATAATGTTTACAAGCTGTATGTATGAAAAAATAATATCGTTATTAATATATTTTTAAAAATATTACACTACAATTCAATAATAACACCTCTAATGACGCGTTTAATTTCACCGACCATAGATCTGCAAGTTGCGTGCTGGCGAAACGCTTGATCTGCGCCACATAACTCTGAATGGATATCCCACCGCACGTTCTCGCCATGCTCGACGTGATCAAGTCGTTGTGAATACCTGATATGAATGCGGCAATGTCTTGTACGGTAGACGTTTTCTCCAGGAAAAAATCCGTTTTCAGTTACTCAGCTATTTGTTCCAATTGCCCCTGTACCAACGGCCTGACGATTGCGATTTTTTGTACGATCGTCTCAATAATGCACGCCGCCAAATCTTGAAGTGCGAGCAAATTTCCCTGGTTTAACATAGCATGTCCCCCCGTGACGGATTCTATTGCCAACATATTCTCACCGCGGTACGACATTTTCGACAGTGTGATGGTCTCGTCTTTGAGGAATAGCCTCTCTCAACTTTTTACCGGCGGGTTCATAATAATTGATGGAATGTGACCCATCATGGAAAATATTCGACGTAAAAATTCCACCGATATGCTCACACACCGCGTGGAAGTTGATATACGTACTGTTACATCAAACGCGTTAGTCGTGGCGTCGAGTCCGATCGTAACAAATTTTCTATCCGCAAAGTCTATAGTGAACGTAGTGCTGTCCATCAGTTCGTGCGGTGTCGACACGTAAAATTTGTCGTTCACTTGCTTATTGTATATAGCCGCGTTAGCTTCAATACTGCCGGCCATGTCGTGAACAACTCTCACGAAAGAGGGGAAAAAAATCGAAAAAAATATGCACGTACAGAGTTACAGTAGTGCGCTGTACTGTATCAAACTGAAAACTGATGTACAAATATTCAAAAAGTATATTATTACTAATAAGGAATCGAATATAATATTGCACGAATAGTGGAGGGGGTGTGGTGGTGGTGCAGTAATATAATAAAAAAATTTTTTGTAAATTGCACTTACAATTATTTGTATAATCATCGCAATATTACATATCATAGTGATAACGAGTTTTACTCGCTCACTCCGTCCATCACCAGGAGGTATACCGTGTTATATACCCGTACGACGTTTAAAATAACGTGTGCGAGCGGACGATTATAATCGTATATATATATTAAAGGACTATAAAACAAAAACAAAAAAAAAATTTTGTTAAAACGAAATCAAATAGTGCGTGAAAAATAAAAAAATTCGGTAGTTTCAAAATTGTTATCTGACCATGGGTTCCGCGTAAATGCATGTTTTGTTTTACGTGTGACGTCACTGGTGCGCCGCCCGTCAACCACTACGCTGTTATAATACGTATATTACTACGGGTACGCTGTTTTATATATTTTATTCTTCATTTGTCAAATAATATACGTAATGATAAACCAAGTTGCCGATGCTTAGTTAATAATTAAAAATATATTTTACTTACATATTTTATTTTGAAACTTAAAACTTATTTTTTACATACCTTTATAATATTATAGGGTAGTTATATCAAAAACAGAAAATTAACTTATTTTTAAAAAACTAAATTATTTACGTGAAAATCTTGAATATTTTGTTTTCATTAAATCTTCATAGTTTGGTTTTGGTTGAGGTGCTATTGTTTGAGATATTGGTACAGTCTCAAATTCTGTTATTGTTGGTGTTATTTTTTTCATTTTTTTTTTTTATTTCTGACATAATTGTATGACGCCAATCGTCGTTACTAGGTTCATATTTGGTTTTTAAAACATATCGTCCAGCAGGTTTTGAATATACTATTTTTTCACCCAATTCTTTTTTATTTATATTACGATTATGGTCTAAAATGGCAATCATACTTCTCATGTGCATGCCTTTATACTTTAAATGGATTCTTTTTGGCATATATTTGAAACGTAAGTTACGGTATGACTCTAATCGACCAGTGTGCACGAAGTTCTTTGCATGTTCCAAATCCTTTAGTAAATCTTTTGACATAATGAGATTTTCTTCAAATCATAGTAGGAATCACTCTCTTGATTTAGCCATAATTTTGATCTAATTTCATTTTCTGTTAATTTTTCGTGTTGACATTGATTTTTATTACCATCTTCAACCCATTCGTGCTTATTAGAAATGTGATATAATACAGAAATAAATTTATCAACCAACAATTTTCCATTTCCTTCACACGTTTGGGCAGACCACCAAAGATGGTTGTTTATTGAAGACTTCCATAAAAATGCATCAGGATACTTTTTTTCCAATGGTTTAAATCTCTTCATCAAGCTTTTACTCAAATGCTATACATCAAATTCGTGCGTAATTTTTGGATGTTGTGTTCGGATATATTTACGAATTCCTTTGTGTCTATCTGTAAGTAACAACTCAATTTCACAATCGTATACATTATTTAACTCTGTTAGTAGTTGTTCACAAGCTTGTCTTTCTAGGTCAACTTTTATTTGGCCCTTTTGAACCAATTTAAAATCCACAATTTTACCAGAGTGAATATCCATTACAGAGTATGTACAGTATTTTGCACAAAATCCAGGGGAGTCGAATTGACCGTCTCCTGCCAGCCAAATAGGTAAATCAGAAGACATAATACTATTAATATTTGAATTTTTGTGTTCTTGCCATTGATTACATATGACAGGGTATACGTATTTATTGATGATTTTATTAAACACCGGACGGGTAAACATTGAAAGTTTTATAGCTGTACAAAATGCTTTGAACTGATTAAATAAAATTCCAGATAATGTAAGAGCAGCACCTATCAAAATATTCCCTTCCGGTCTTTTGCTAACTTTCGGCTGAGAATACCATTGTAATCTATGACCGTTTTCACACAGCGTAGAAACTGAAAATAGCGTACCTTGAATAAAATGTTGTTTTGATGTAACTTTGCCACTACGTTGGCGACAGTGTGTAAAAAGTTCTAATAGACAGTTCCAAAACACAATGAAACAAGAATCATTTTCAAAATTATTTTTTGCAGATGATGACAATCTATTATTTTTCCTACTTGAACTACACTTAATATCAGCTTCACTATCTGAAGAACAAGATTCATCGCTGGATTCTGATGAAAAATCGAATGATAAATCATCATTTACTTCTAAATTTGTATAAATATCTTTTCCAATTTCACACTGTATACTCTTATCATTTGGATTAATTAGTTCCTCTAAAATATCTGTATCTAAGCTAGTGTCACTATAATTAATTCCATCGTAGTTTTCTACTAGCATCGATTTTTCTGGTGTACTTGATGGAATCAAATTTGCAGTCTCTGTGTAATACCTACGTTTTACTCTTAAATCACGTTCACTAGGTAATAAATCAATTGCTTCGGATCGTAGAGTGGTTATTACTCCAGAATTCAAATTTATTCTGACTTTAGTATCG